TTTGTCGATCGATTATTTGCACTCATTTGCCATTGTACGAATTTTACGAAACGTTTTAAACGTCGTAGCGTAATATTAATTGTAATGTTTAGCTAATTATTCGGTAATTCTCAAGAGGCGTTAAATAAAATAAAAACGTCAATTTGATAGGTACTAAAACACGACTGGCTTTATTAGTAGGCTGACTCAATGCCTTCTACAAATGGTAACTAATATGCAAATCAAGTAATACATAACACGTCCTACCTTTAACAAAATTAAAAATAACTAAACAAATTAGAACACAAACTAATAAACGATAAATAATTACATATCAAACTTTTTAGGTGGTTTTACAACACGACCACAACGAGTTACTAATCTGCTTTCTCTGGTATTTCCATATTGATCATTGCCTTTTCCAACATATTCATCACTATCATCTTCTTTTGTTACAAAAGAGTCATTAAAAGGAAGATAATTGGAAGTCGATGATTGAGTATCTTGCTCAAAACTATCTTGTGTCTCTGTGTTTTTGTGATCCAATTTTTGATTTATTTTAAGTGGTTTTAGGAATCTTCGATTTCTTCTGTACACAGCGTCGTTCAGATTAACCAAATAATCATAGGGTCCTGATTCTTAAATCACTGTTGCAGGTTTCCAGTCTCTCATTCCTTGTTGCATCAAAATTAAAAGTTTTTTACATTTTTTGTCATAGTGTACTTTTTGTTTATGTTGTTTGCACTTTCATGCTTGTTTAACCTTTTTTGCTGAATATTTTGGATTCAAAATACTGTTGGCAACGGGCAGTGTTGATCTTAATCGTCTTCCCATTAACAAAATACTGGGAGATGGAAAATCTTGCTTCGGAGTAATGTTATAATTTAACACCGCGAGAAACGGATCAGTGCCTTCTTCAAATGCTTTGGTAAGTAAACCCTTAACAGTTTGAATAGCTCTCTCAATCATTCCATTTGATGCAGCGTATGTTGGACTCGAGGTCGTTAATTTAATGTCATATTGTTGAGCAAAATTAAAAAATTCTTTTGAATTAAATGGAGGTCCGTTATCTGACATAATTTCCTGTGGTAGACCAATAATAGCAAAAACGTTTTTAAGAGAGCTTATCACACTTTCTCCCGTTTTGTTTGGTAATTTGTTGACTACCACGAATTTGCTAAAGTAATCAACAATAACAATCAAATTTAGAGGACCCAGGCTTTTAAAATCAATTCCAATTTTTTGCCAAGGCAAATCTGGAACCTTGTGTGGTTGTAGGGGTTCTCGTGTGTTGGCTTTTGAATATTTTTGGCAAATCAAGCAGGACAATACTAAATTTTCTATGTCTGTTGTTAAGCCAGGCCAATAAACGGATTCTTGGACAAGCAGTTTGGTAGAAACTACTCCCTGGTGAGACTTATGCAACAATTTTAAAAATTCATGTTGCAAATTTTTTGGCACAATAATCTTTTCTTGTAAAAAAGTATGTTTTTGTGAAGATAAATGTCTTCTTTTATTTGCCAAAATATTTTGAGTGATGGTGGTAGGTTACACTTGTGGGACGGCCAACCATTTCGAACATAGTACTTGATTTTTTGTAGGTCACAGTCTTGATCAATTTCATTTTGCAGGCGCTTTTCGTTCTCAGCTAAAGTTGTAATTACCGAAAACATTCTTAGATTTTCTTCAAGGTAATTTGTATCAATGTGGTCTTTTAAAGGTTCTCGGCTTAAAGTATCAGCTATTTGTTGATTTTTTCCCGCAACATACTTGAGACCGAAAAAATACCTTAGTAATCTATGTGCCAACCTTTGGATTCGAGGAGACATCTCATCGAGAGGTTTTTCAGTAATCCTATTAAAGGTCTGTGATCACTTTCAATCAAAAATTTTCTGCCAAACAGGTAGTAATGAAAACGTTCGCAACCAAAAACTAGAGCTAAAAGCTCTTTGTCTATGTGATTATAATGTTGTTGGGTTGAAGTAAGTGATATTGAAGCGTATTCTATTGGATGTCCTTCCTGCATAATAACAGCTCCAATACCGAAAGGACTTGCATCGACAGATAATACAGTGTCTTTATTTGGATCAAAATTGCTAAGGGTTGGTGATGACGTCACTAGCTGTTTCAGACGATCAAAAACTCTTTGTTCATTAGCAGACCATTGCCATTCCACACTATTTGAAAGTAATTTTCTTAAAATTACAGTCTCAGTTGAAAGATTCGGTATATATTTTGACAAATAGACAATCATACCCAGAAAGCGTTGTAGATCTTTTTTGTTGCTGGGTGGTTTCATTTCTAAAATGGCTTTAGTTTTACTGTTGTCAACTTCAATGCCTTGTGAACTAATATAGTGCCCCAAAAATTTTACTTTTGTAACACCAATCTTAGATTCTTGTAAATTTAAAGTTAATCCAGATTTTGCAATTTTTTGCAGAGTTTTTTCCAAATTTAAATTATGTTCTTCGATTGTTTTTCCATAAACTAATATATCGTCAAAGTACGCTATTACTCCCTCAATGTCATTTAAGGTGTCATACATAAATTTCTGAAATATTTCCGGCGCAGAACTCAAGCCATATGGAAGTCTTAAATAGCGATAGCGTCAAAATGGCGTAGATATAGTGCATAATAAAGAGCTTTTATAATCCAACGGAATTTGCAGAAAAGCGCTGGAAGCATCTAACAATGAAAAATATTTTGCACCCGCCAACTCAGAAAATAAAGTATCTTGCGTAGGAATTTGAAAAAATTCTCTTTTGATATAGAGATTTAAAGATCGAGGATCCATACACACTCTTATACAATGCGATCAAAAATGAGTTGCTGTCGAGTTACCTTTGGAATTTTTGTTTACGTGAAAAATCGTATTTAACTTGAACTTCCAAAGGCAACTCGACAGCAACTCATTTTTGATCGCCCGTTATCACCATTTGACTTGGGGGCTATGACTATGGGATGTACCCAATCAGTTGGTTCTGTTACAGGAACAATAATCTTTTCAGTTATCATTTCGTCAAGTTTTTGTTTTACTTTGTCTTTTAATGCTACAGGTATTTTTCTTGTAGCAGATATTTGAGGAATTGCATCTTCCCTTAGCGTAATGCTATATGTTGTCGAAACTTTACCAATCCCCGAGAAGACTTTTTGATACTTGGAAACCACAGTGTTCGTACTTTCAATTTTAGTTGCACAAACCTTGAGACCCAAATTATATTTTACGATTTTTAATTCACTACTAGACTTTAGTCCTAAAATCGACGAATTTTTGCACTCAGTGAGCACGTGGAAATACAAATTTTTGGTTAACCCGTTATAAGTGCAATCTAAGTTTATTTGCCCTATAGTTTTAATATCATGACCCGAATAGGATGAAAGTTTTGTTCCAGTTTTGCTTAAGCTATAGCTACAAATTCCAAGTTTTTTAAAATCTGCATAGTTCAAAATATTAACTTCACTACCAGTGTCTATTTTAATTTTAATTTCAATGTTTTGAATGTAAATTTGTTCATACCACTCAATTGAATTTACTGTTTTGTGATTAGGTCCAGAAGATATCATCCAAACTATGTTTGAAGATTCATTACTGGAATCACAGTTACAACTATAATTGTGTGAACATTCACATTCATCAGAATCAGATGACTCAGTTTCTGATTCATTAATTGCGTTGATATACTTATTTTTACAAAATTTTGATATTGCCCTTTTCTACGGCAGCGACTACAAACACGAAATAGCGCAGGGCACTTACCTTTTTTGTGTTCTAAACCACAGTTTTTGCATTCTGTTTTATATGATTTTTGTGATCCATAGGGTTTGTAATTCATCACTTGTCTACTACTGGTTCCCTGATCATTTGCACTATAATTATTATTTCGAAAGTTATTTTTATGTTTATGCTCCGAATGTACCGTATTTACGGCTAGAAATTCACTTTTAGCATCGCGTGAAATCTGTCTTTGTGGCACTGCACTACTTTCGATAGCATGACATAACGACACAGCTTTTTCGAGGGTTAGTTTGTCTTCTTGTAATAATTTTTCCTGTGTGCGCGTATCGCGTATTCCGAGCACTATACGGTCAAGAATCATTACGTCTTTTTCTTTAAATTCACACGAAAGGGATTACTGTTTTAAAGCCGTCACAAACTGATCAAATGTTTCTCCTTGCTGTTGTTCCCGTTTGAAGAACTTAAAATGTTCAAAAACCAAGTTTTTAACCGGCTCGCAATAGTTCCTGAATTTGTCAAGCACGACCGATAATTGTTTGCTGTCATCTTCGCTCTCAAATTCGAATGTATTAAAAATTTCGAGCCCTTCATCGCCCAAGAAATGTTGCCACTTTAACATTGTCCACTTTTGCATTTTTTCCACTAGCAAGCATGTACAGATTAAATTTTTGTTCCCATAAGCGCCAATTTGCAGCTACGTTACCTTTAAAGCTCATTGAACCAGGACATAATGCATCAGACATTTTAGACATTCCTCGAATAAGTAAAACCTTATTTTTGTTTGTTCTTCTTTCTCCAACGTAAACCCGTTAGACCGCGCTTTTTAACAGATTCGTTTACCTAGCACCCAACACGTTTTTTAACGTTTTTTACCGTATGCCACCATGTAATGTTTAGCTAATTATTCGGTAATTCTCAAGAGGCGTTAAATAAAATAAACGTCAATTTGATAGGTACTAAAACACGACTGGCTTTATTAGTAGGCTGACTCAATGCCTTCTACAAATGGTAACTAATATGCAAACCAAGTAATACATAACATTAATGAGTTGCAATAATGGGTGTCTTTAAAGAAAAACGGCACATTATTTCCTTCCAGCTTTTGTTAATGTTTTAATGTTAATTAAGGATACTGATATTCCAAAGACGGAGTTCAAATCCCCTTATGTCACTCACGGTGCAGTAACTTAATACGAAAGTTTTTTCTGGTACATTGCTTAACGTTAACCAGCAAAATCTCGTGTATAATGTAAATAAAATAGAAAAGGGGACATGAAAAGCTTACCAACATGACGTAAAACGTGCAAGATGCTATTATTATTGACAACCCACAGAAATCGACAAGCAGCGTAGAAGAAAATCTTCTCGTAAATTCTTTCGCAACTTCATTCAGCCATACGTGGTACTTGATAATTTCCTTCAGGTTGCGACGCAGTTGTGGGGCCTGAAAATGTTAACTATTGGCGATCGGTAAGTCTTACGGTACCTTCATACCCCCTTGCCGGTGCTACGTTTGATGCAAGTTTTAATGCGGTGCTGTATAATTTTGCAGTGGAGCGTTAAGGTTATGACTGTGCCGCAAATGGCGACGACGATCGCCATGTAGCATATGAACGTGACGAAGTTCAGTAGATTTTGATAAATTAGCGCGATTTCGTAATTCGGGCTGGTAGTAGTGTCGAAAAGCGGAAACGCACCGAACGGCAGGATCCAGTGCGAGGAGTTGGTGGAGGTAAGTCGTTGATGGACGCAGGGTGTGTTGGCGAAAACCATGTAAACGAATGGGGTGAAATAGCAGACCCGCGCCTGAAATGCAGGTACCCAGTTCATCATGGTCTCGCTTGGGCTCCGTTAACTTAGCACCACCATTTCAAATTTCTGACTAAAGACAGATTGCGCTAGAATCTCTATGGCTAGCGCCACTTTGAGTTCAGCTAGCGCCATTATAGATTTTGCAGAAAAGCCCTTGACTTTCGGGGGGTGCTATGTTAACGCTAGCACCACCATTGCGTCCGATCATTTCCAAAAGCAAGCGCTGTGTTCATCGAACCTAGCGCCAGCTAGCGCCACAAATTTTATAGCTAGCGCCACCCCCCAATAGTGCGGGGGAGACTTTTTCCTAGCACCACCATTTTGTTTTTTCGGGTAAAATTTTGACGTTTTGTGTTCTGCTGACCTAGCGCCACAATTTTAGAGCTTCCATCACCCTTCAATAGTGTGGGGGGGGGGGGGCCCACTTAATTTTAAAATTTCCATAGGTATTACGGTTTCTTGTGAAATGTTTCCGTTTTGTGCTCTACTCACTACACAATTCTTTTTGTAAATCACAGTATTAATTTCACTACCACAATATTGCGAGCTAAATCGTTTAGAACACAGCGCAGTGCAAAATTTGAAAATGTCAACGAACGTACCTACTCATAACCAGAGCTGGGCAGTATTCGATTTTGTAAATACTTTTTAGTATTCAAATACTTTGTAATTAAATACTTTTATGGAAGCAGTATTTGTATTTGTAACTCAAATACTTTTGCAAATTTTTAGTATTCGAATGCTTAGCAAAGTATTTGAATACTTTCAAAAGTATCGCATCATTTGAATACTTTTAAGTAATTCAAATATTTGACAACTATTTAGAAATTTTTAGAGGAAGTTTCCGTTATCACAAAATCAAATATAAAAATCCGATACAACATGAATACCGAACGAGCCTGGAGTGAAACTTTTTGACCCGATACACACGGACAGACGGACGAACAAAAAAGGATCTGTTTCAAAATCGCTAGAATTAATTTCAGAAAGGTGTACGTGTCATGTGCACGATGTACGATCGCTTTGAAAACTGGTACACGTATTCTTAAGGATATAACTAATATAAGACAGGTCCTGGTACCTCCTATATAATAATATAATAACAATAATACGCTTTTACTCCCCTTAAATTTGTATATAACAATAGAAATATAAAAAAAGCTAACCTCAGCTCAGGGAAAGGGACTACATTCAGTGCATAAAACGCTGTTCTTCCATGTTGCCTCTATACAAAGTATAACTTGACATTTTTTAAGTATTATTAAGACTTTTATCTAGTACTATTTTAAATTTTTAATGTATTTGAGTGACAAGTATTCGAATACTTTTTATAGTATTCGAATATCTTTGGTAGTATTAGAATATTTTTGAAAGTATTTGAATATCTTTGAAAGTATTCCCATCAATCAGCATATTTATTTGTTAATTCTGCTAAAAAACAAAGAAGATTCTTATATACTTATGTGTAATGTGCAAATAATCATAAGGCATATGTATTTTATATGATTAATACACTCCATTAATATACGACCAATCAGCTTGGTGATTGTTTCAAATTCTAACCAATCAGATGATTTTTTATCTGATTAAACGCCACGTAGCTTTTTAACAGCGATAAAAATGCGTGTAGGAATGCGTAAAATATGTAGTGGTTATAAAATTTACTGTCTTTTATTAATCTCCCTAAAATACACTCGACCTTGGTTTTAAGTCAGGATAATTTTATTTTTAATTCACTCAAATTTTGTTGCCTCCTGGAAAAAACTCTCGAAAAGGATAATATTAATAAAATCGCTCCAGCTAAAACTGTCGCGATTTTATCACACTTTTGGTCTCGAGTTTTTTCGGTGGCAACAAAACTTTCGTGTAGGAATAAAATTATCCGATTAAAAATCAAGCTCTTGTATATTTGCTCCCGATAAATTATATACCTATGTACGTCGCGTCGACTACTATCTAAAGGTGTTGTTTTTAACAATACAGATATACCAAACTTTACACAATTGACGCGCCTGTAAACCCTTGATGGGACAAATAATTTACAACTTTTGCGCATTCATAAAGGATTTAAGTAAGTTTGTACCTGCATACCTCACCGTCTGTTTACTTTGAAATGAAGGGATGTTCATATTTACAATCTTGCTACTTTACATACAAATTTTAGTATTTTTATTGGAACTTTTGTACTTTAAACAGAACGATCAATCCAAAAAGTAAAGGATTTCAAATTAAAATAATTTGTTTATTATTTCCGACCCTAAGAGGGACAGATTTGCACATTCGGGTTTAACAAGTTAAAAAGTAATCGTAAACGATTTACATAAAGCGCATTTCCACTTGCATTCATTTCCCATTTGTAAGATGCAACTTCTGTTAAAATCGTAAAAATCCGCCCACAAATATGAAAGATATGGCGTTGCACATGGGCAATCCATTTTTGACGTGCTACTTCAATTTCAGTTTATGAGAAGAATTTCATTTCAATGCTTTCTAAATAAAGAAAGTTTAGAAACTGCGCATGCGCAAACCTAAATTTTAAAACTAATGTTAGATTTTCCTTTGTTCCAAAGCGCCTAAGTATCAATTTCAACTTAAAATAGTTCCATAGATAAAAAAGTTGGCACGCGCATGCGCAAAATAAAATTTTGAAACTGGCGCTAGATTTTCCTTTATTCCAAGTGCCTATGTATCAAATTTCATTTAAATTCTTCCATAAATAAAAAAGTTGGCACTGCGCATGCGCAAAACCAAATTTTGAAATTGGCGTTTGATTTTCCTTTACCCCAAGTGCCTATGTATCAAATTTCGTTTAAATTCTTCCATAAATAAAAAAGTTGGCACTGCGCATGCGCAAAACCAAAATTTGAAATTGGCGTTTGATTTTCCTTTATTCAAGTGCCTATGTATCAAATTTCGTTTAAATTCTTCCATAAATAAAAAAGTTGGCACTGCGCATGCGCAAAACCAAATTTTGAAATTGGCGTTTGATTTTCCTTTATTCCAAGTGCCTATGTATCAAATTTCATTCAAATACTTTTATAAGTAAAAAAAGTTTGCAATTCGGTTTATAAATGGTCGAGATGCGAAAAGGGCACTGTGAATTTTGAATCGATTTGATTCAACTTTTGGCATTGCGTATTATATGGTTAAAGCTATGCCCATATTGAATTTCATGCAATTCAGTTCATAACTAACGGAGATGTAAAAGTGATCGAACAAAGTTATCGTTCACACGGACAGATAGATGGACAGACAGACAAAGGAACAGACGGACAGACCAACAGGCAGACGACAGATAGCAATGCAAAATTATAAACGATCTCTAGGATCGTTAATAAACGGCAAAAGTGTAAAATTATGGAACATGTAAAAAACGGTTTTTTGTTTTTTTTACAATAACTTTTTTTGTAAGCGGTACAGAAAAAATTCCTTCCTTGGTACAAGACTCGACACCATAACGAACCAAATAGCGAAAAAAGTAGAACAATAGCTCTTAAGATAAAAAACTAGTAGCGTCGCAAAATTAGCGGACGGACGGACGGACGGACGGACAAAGTGGCCTCAATAGCGCATTTTTTTTTTATTTTTGTGGAAATGCGCTAAAAATGGTAAAGAGTTTGACCATCCCAGATGCGGTGTCTCTCCGTCGGTCCGTTACCACAATATCCCGATAACGAATGGATCGATTACGATGAAATGTTGTAGTTGGATTCTTTATCAAATTTGTAGATCGAAGTTCGTGAATGGGTAATGTATCCCAAAAAATAAGGAAGGCCCTTTTGACATCTGCGTGAGTTTTGAACCGAATTGCATGAAGTTCAATATGCGTATACCTTTAGCTATATAACACGCAATTCCAAAAGTTCAGCCTAATCTATCAACAGTCACAGTGCCCTTTTCGCATCGACGTGTAAATAAATATAGAAAACGAGCTCCTGGATATGGCTACAGCATGTGCAAAACCAAATTTTGAACTTGGTGGTAGTTTTGCTTTTATTTAAAGTGTATATGTATGAAATTTCATTTAATTGCTTCCATAAATAAGAAAATTGGCATCGCACATCATGCACAAAACCAAATTTTGAAACTGGCGTTAAATTTGCTTTTATTCCAAGTTGCTATGTATCAAATTTCTTTTAAATGCTTCCATAAATAAGAAAGTCTTCAATCCGGTTTGTAAATGGCCGAGATGCGAAAAGGGCACTGTGAATGTTGATCGATTAGGCTCAACTTTTGGAATTGCGTTTTATATGGCTAAAGCTATACGCATATTGAATTTCATACAATTCGGTTCATAACTCACAGAGACGTCAAACGGACCTTCCTTATTTTTTGGGCTATATTGCCAATTCACCAACTCCGATCTACAAATTTGATAAAGAATCCAACTACAACATTTCATCGTAATCGGTCAATTCGTTATCGAGATATCGTGCTAACGGACAGACGGACAGACACCGCAAAATTATAAAACTAGCTCTAAAATTAGTGGCGCTAGGTCAGCAGAGCACCAAACGTCAAAATTTTACATGAAAAGACAAAATGGTGGTGCTAGGAAAAATTGCTCCCCTCACTATTGGGGGGTGGCGCTAGCTCTAAAATTTGTGGCGCTAGCTGGCGCTAGGTCTGACGAACACAGCGCTTGCTTTTGGAAATGATCGGACGCAATGGTGGTGCTAGCGTTAACATAGCACCCCCCGAAAGTCAAAGGCTTTTCTGCAAAATCTATAATGGCGCTAGCTGAACTCAAAGTGGCGCTAGCTGGCGCTAGCCATAGAGATTCTAGCGCAATCTGTCTTTAGTCAGAAATTTGAAATGGTGGTGCTAAGTTAACGGAGCCTCTCGCTTGTCTACTTCTACCTGTATATTCATTATGGAGGTGTATCGATCTTGCAATTTCTGTTCTTCCTTGTCATCTGCACAGAAATTGTTTCTGGTTAACTGTAAGAAACTGTCACGCAGCTTGTGACGTGTGTGATATGTGACAGCGATTTTAATCGACCCTGTAACAAAACGTATCAGAATGGAGTAGAGTGTCAATTTCTATACCTATCAGCAACGCAGTACCAATTGTGAAATTTTCAACAAAGGTTGTGGTATTTTCAACATCTTCTAAAATCATGTAAACGTCCAAGTACCATGATGTTGCAACCATGGAGAAGATAAAATAAGAGTAAATCTTGTAAAAATAATCTTTTTCTCTTTTTGGCAACATCCCCGTCCATCTCAATACTAACGTTTCGATTTCGAGCGGCTCCCTCTTCATTCCTTCAGCGTAGCCGGACGGATTATGACTGTTCTCAATAAGTTAATCTACTTCAATAATCCTGTCGTTACAGTAATAGGGGTTGACTAATGACGAAACTTTCGTACAAATGGAAGCGACATGAATAAAACAGACCCGATAAGCGAACGAACTTAATTTCCGGGAGATGGCAATATCTTTGATCGTCGAAGTTCAAATGGAAATCCTTCGAATTGATTTCGAAACGTAACCGACTACCAGAACGGCTAAGTCTAACCTGTAGCCTGCAAGGAAATAAAGGCGAATACGTAGAAAATATGCCGACATAAGCAAAGAGACCCTCGAGATTCTTCAGCGTTTGAGTGAGTCAATATAATTCGCGAATATTTCCTTTACCCTCCACAAGTTGCTTCGTATATCTAAAATCCGACCCCTATATTTCAGAAACTTGTATATAACTAAAACCCCGAGGCGACGGAAGCTCGGCACGCACCGCAGTCTGGCCGCCTCCGAGGGGCTTATCACATACATGATTCATGAACCTCTCCCGATTTAATCGCTATTCAATTCCCGAAAATAGGGAAAAAAAATGCACTCCTCGCCCGGTCCGCGCGATTATCCATCATTTCGAATGGAACGCAAGGTCCGCGCCGTTTTTAGGGGTAGAGCACGAGAATAAAACAGTTGCAAACTTGGTAAATACAACTCGAAAACCTGCGCTGTTTATAAGAGGCTTATTATAAGCTTTGAAAGAAAGAGATTCCTCCAGGAACTTTATTAACGACGACGCTCGCGTTTCAACCTTTTTTGCTTAATCTTGTTTTTATGTCATTTCCTTTTTTAACGGGACATTTTATGTGTACCCAACTTTGTTGAACAGTGATCTGTTCAGGTTGTAGTTGTACGCGTCCTGCTATTTTAATTACCCACGTTTGCAACAGGAGAAACTTTTCTAAGTACCTACTTGTTCTTTGTTATTTGTGCTGGTCGAAAATGACAAAATCTTTAGGTGCCCGTGTAGGAGCGGGAAAGAATACTCCTACTGCAGAGACACTGCATGTCGTAAGAGGCGACTAATCAAGAGTGGTTCGACCCATAACACAAGAAGTAGGGACGGTTTGTGGTTGGTAGTCTTAAAAAAAATCAATTATTGTTTTACTGACGGCTAGTCTAATATGTGTAAGTAGTGTACTCACTGTAGATTTAAAATTAACTACAAAATCCTTGACCGTTTTTTGACTTGTGCGTAAAAGAAACAACAAATGGTAAAAAATTTACATGTTTCCCTTATGCACTTTCCTTTTACTTGACTTTATACAAATCTGATGTCGTAGGATCTTCCATTTAAGAGTAAATTTAAGTGACCACTTTTTGTTTGTGAAATACATCTAACTTAAATTCCAAAATCTGAACGATAGCTCCAAAAATAATGACGAGACATCATCTATTTCAATTTATTAAAGACCCCCCTGTACTACGTTTTACAACACGTTTAGTTCGAGCGTTCCCAAGATCGTGGGGGTGTTCATGACTCTAAACACTTTGAATATAAAAGTCGCACCGGGAATCTTCTGGGTGGGATCGGAATACCCCCTCCCCCCAATCTAGAAAAGGCGGGTACGGAACACTCTTCAGGAAATGTCTGATTTTCTAAAAAAACAACCATCGAATTCCTGGAGGGTATTCCTTACCCCCCAAACTCCCCGGTACTACTTACAATACATTCCCCCATTGATGGTTCTAAACGTTTTCAATGGAATAGTAGCACCGAGAGGCGTGGGGTTATGGAATACCTCCCAGCCAGAAAAGACGTCCCTTTTAATTTTTAATTTTTTTTTATTTTATTGCCCTTGTTTTATAGTGAGAGGAGTGTTAGCTAATTCACTAATCTTCCCACTCAACCCATAAACTTTTGAGGTACGCAGGTCGGAGTGAGAAGAAAAATAGCACCAAGGGTCATCAAATTCGGGGGGGGGGGCATACCCTCCAAACCCCTCGGCGGTGTTACATTTAGAAATACCTTCCAGAAAAGGTTTTATTTTTTAAAAGAAGGTCATCGAATTCCTGGGGGGTGTTCCATACCTCTCAGACCCCCCCGGTACTACTTTTTACAACACGTATAGAAATTCAAGCATTCTCAAGATCATGAGCTGTTCATGACTCTAAACATATTAAATGGAAAAGTAGCACCAGGAGGTCTGGGGGTATGGAATACCTCCCAGCCTGGAAACCCTCCTTTTTTTAAGGGAGGGTGGGAGAAAAATGAGCACCAATGTATCTAGCGGGTCCCGGAATACTCTCCAGGACAGGTCTTATTTTTAAAAGAAAGCCATCGAATACCCCCCAGACCTCCCGGTACTACGTTTTACATTACATTTGGAAATACCTTCCAGGAAAGGTTTTTTAAAAGAAGGTTATCGAATTCCTGGAGGGTATTCTTTACCCCTTAGACTCACCGGTACCACGTTTCGAAATTCGACCATTCCCAATATCATGTAGGTGTTGATGAATCTAAACGTTTTGGCTGAAAAAGTAGCATCAAGTGGTCTGGAGGGTATTGAATACCCCCCCCCCCAAGTCAGAAAGGTCTCATTTTTTAAGCATTATAGCAGAAAGGAATCTGGTGGGCGCGAAATATTTATTTTTAAAAGAGTACAATCGAATTCCTGGGGAGGGGGGTATTCTAGACTCCCAGTACTACGTTTTCAAACGCGTTTAGAAATCCGAGCATTCTCAAGATCCTGTGGGTTTTGAAGACTGTAAACGTTTTGGATGAAAAGGTAGCACAGGGGGGTCTGGGGGTATAGACCCCCCGAGCCAGGAAAGATCTCACTTTTAAGGGACGCTGAGAGGAGATATAAGCGGGTACGGAATACTCTCCATTCCTGGTGGGGGGGGGGTATTTCAGACCCCCTGGTACTACGTTTTACTACACGTTTGGGGAGAATACTCACCAGGAAAACTCACTTTTTAAGAGAGGGCGCGAGGAAAAATAGGCGGGTACGGAATACTCTGCATGAAAGGTCTTATTTATTAAATGAGGGCTATCGAATTTCTGGAGGGTGTTCTATATCCCCCAGACCCGCCCGTATACTATCTTTTAGATCACGTTTAGGAATACTCTCCGGGAAAGGTCAAATCTTTTAAAAGGGAACGATTGAATTCCTGGAGGGGATTCCATACCTCCCAGACCCCCTTTACTACGATTTACAACACGTTTAGAAATTCGAGCATTCTCAAAATGATAGTGGTCATGTCACTAAACGTTTTGGATGGAAAAGTAGCACCGGTGGGATGGGGGGGGGGGAGGTCTGGGGAGTATGGAAATTCCCCCCAGCCAGGAAAGAACTCATTTATTAAGAGGACGTGAAAGTAAAAATAGCACCAAGGTCTCTGTGGTGGGTACGGAATACTCCCCACGGAAGGTTTTATATTTTAAAAAGAGGGCCATGGAATACCCCCAGTCAAAATCCCTAGCCAAGGAAAACTTTATTATTTTTAAGAGAAGGTGAGAGGAAAAATAGCACCAAAGTATGTGGTGGGTACGGAGTACTCTCCAGGGAGTGTATTATATTTATAAAAGATGGCTGTCGAATTCTTGGGGGGTATTCCAGAACCCCCGGTATCCTGGGGTATTTATTTACTTATTTATTATCGCCATTCTCTAGATTATGGAGGTAGCGTGTCTGGGGGGGCATGGAATACCCCCCCAGCCAAAACCCTTAGGCAGGGAAAATCCAATGTTTTTAAGAGAGGCGAGAAGGAGAAATTGTACCAATGTATCTGGTGGTTACGAAAATACTCTGTAGGGAGTCTTATACATTTAAAAGAGAGCCACCGAATTCCTGGGCGGTATTCGTTTGAGGCCCCCCCCCCCCACGTCGCGATAATACGTTTCCCACCACGTTTAGAAACCAGAGATTTTTAAGTGAGGAAAAGTAGCAGTGGACACGGAATTCTTTCTAGGGAGGGTCTTGTATTTTTAAATGACCCCCCCCCCCCCCCCAATCCATGGTACTATATTTTTCACCATGTTTTCAAATCCTGGCATTCTCAAGATCATGTTGGTGTTGATAGTCCTAAACGTTTTGAATGGAAAAGTAGGTCCGGGAGGTATGTTTGGGGGTATTTAATAGTTTTATTACAGAGGTAAAGTTAATTGTTTCAAGAAAATTTTTACCAGTGCCATAGAGGTTCAATTTTATTAAATGCAAATAAGAGTCTTCAACCCTTGTAAGTGTAACTAAGCTTTTACAACCTCATTATATTTTGATCTACAAAAATGTAACTAGTTGTTCCAACCGTCTGATTGTTAAAAAGAGAAAACGCCAAGTTCGATCTTTTTGGGACGTAGCTCCTAGACGAAACATTTTGGACCATTAGTTTATGTTACAAATTAAACTTCCCCGTAGCTATCTAAATAGACGTGATTTTTTCAATTTTTGATTTTTTTAAAATTACCAATTACAATATTGAAATTTATTTGCCTTTATTTTTGGGTGGGCGGGGTTTCAGCCAAGGCTGCTCTACCAGCCCAACCCACTATACATTTACAAATATCCATGCCCGAACCCGGATTCGAACTAGGGACCTTAGCACCACAGTCCAGTTTCAACTGAATTGCGCCACACGGGCCGGTACATTCCGTATGTTTAGACAGCGCGAGATAGAAAAAAATTCGTTATTGTTTTTTCGATTTAATAGCCCTTATGGACATGGACAATACAAACATGAAATAATTTTTAATTTCTGATCGAATGACACCAATACCAAGTCTGTAAGTGGTGTAGTTCCGGAGCCTTTATGACTCAGACAGACAGACATCAAGAGCGCAAAAGTGCACTATTTTTTATTTTTTGAAACTGAAAGTGCACTAAAAACTGTATTTACAAAAGTTGTGGAGTTTATCATAAATCGCTAGAGAATGCAAAGTAAAAAAACAAATAAATGTCACCCTTCAAAACTTCTTTCTGATTTCATAAATCTGTTGTGTATCCGCGTTAACCGTTTTTGAAAAAAAAATGCTGATCATATCCAACATCTGTAAATTTTTGAATTGAAGACAAATATTAAGCAATAAAGTTTGTCTAGGTTATTTCCAGGGTAAGAATAATAATATGTTAATTAATAAGAAATAATGATAGTCATTTGTTTTGTTATGGTAACTGCGATTTGGTAAAACAATTTGCAAATAAAAACAATAAATGCTGATAGAAGCAAATGTCAACATGTTATCTAAAAGATCTATTCAATTTGTGAAAAATATACAGGGCGTTCCATTAAAAAATCGGAAAGTACTGTGATACCATGCAATGGGAAACAAAATTATATGAAAAGCTCTTACCAAGAATATACCGATTGGAAAGATTTCCCACCTCGAAAAAGGTGGGAGAACAAATATCTTCAGGCATTAATTGAAGTTTTGGTGATTGTTTATGTCATTCAGTGTGAATCACGCTACCAAACAGTAATGGAAGGAAGATCTGCGCATAGCAAATATAACAGGGTACTTCTGGTACTACTGAAATTGA